CACTCTTGAACTTTCGTGTCATCAAAACAAAAATAGATAACTCCGAAACGGCGAAATAGACCCAAGGCATTGCAAAAGCTACGCAAAGAGAGTGTATTTACTTTAACTCATTGAATCGAAAAAAAAAAAAAAGAAACCTGATTCAACGAACTCAGTTTAAGGCTGCTAACGGTGCTTATGACACAGGACAACCAAGTGCACGCAGACCTCTGCTCGATGTGACGCCATCTGGGGGAACCGCAAGCGAGCGATCGATGTCGGGCCGTCTTATTCAGGCGCCGCTACTGGACGCTGTGTCTAATCTATCTTATTATTCATTCAAAATATGTCTCCGGTTCCGATGGCTCAAACACCACGGATACCTAATTCTTTCTAGTATTTACCAAATCGATGAATAGCAATTTTCGCGCGTTTTGATTGGCTCCCGTAACTCGGAATATTCTTGGCTATTCACTGTTTTGCGACCGGAACCAAGATGGCGTCGAGAGATTTTCGGAAAACGAAATTTGTACCATAAATGAAGCAGTCGTACAAGAAAAAGAAAGCGACGAACTTTGGCTTTACGGTATTCAATGGTAGGTAGAAAATTATTTCCATCCTGAATTTGTAAGACAATCGTAAAATGCACTTGACAATCACCGAAATGTGCGACACTAGGTGACGTTTTTAATTTACAAATTTCTTTTTTTCAGTTTTATCCAACTGATTTGAAACATCTATCTGAACACCTTCTCTTCGGAACAGTTGTATAATAACCGCCATTGCGTATCGATCGAGATATTATAAGCATGTTTAAGCTTGTTTTTTTTTTATTATTGATATTGTTTTGTTTCTTCTTTTAAAAACTAGTAATTATTTTGAATGAATAATAAAGCAATTACTGTATTCTGCTATCGGATGATTCTGAACCCCAGAAAAACATCGAAATACGACCTTAGACAGAAATTGGAAGAAGCATCATTTTTTAGAAAACTACACTTCGTCGAACTTAAAAGTACCCTCTGCCACTACAATGTTTAACGACCTCATTTAAGGTCGGTACACATTAGGCGACAAGTTGCAGCAACATGTCGCGGCGACATATTGCAGCGACAAATCGCTTCGTGTGTACTGGAGAATTTTTGTGAAAATCTTTGTCGCTGCAACAGAATTTGTCGCCGCAACAAGTCGCACAGATTTGGCCGTGTGTTCACGGTCACTCGCACACACTCTCGAAGCGGTCAGCATTTAATAGATCCCATCGGCCGTAGCCCCTTTCTCCCCTCATAAAATTTACACAAGGTAGGCTGACTGTTTTCTCCTTTTATATCACACTTAGATGATATTTCAAGCTGGAAATGTTCATGAAAGTTCATGTTCTCTTCAATTTGAATTTATACTAAAGACAGTAGGATTCGAACCCACGACCCAGATGGTCCAGTATTCTACGCTAACCGCTAAACCACTGAGGATTTGCTGGGTCTAGGTGAATTAATTTAAGTACATATAGCATCAACCCCAACCCAAAAAAAAGAACCTAACCAGTTTCGAAACAATGCTTAACCCTAATCAGTAAAGGCACTGCTTAACCCTAATTAGTAAACTTCATGAGGTGTCCGAAGGGGCTACGGTCGATGGAATCCTAACGATAACCTCTCGAAGCACACGCGAGAAGTTTATGGAAGTAGTTACAGAATCACATGGTTACATGCAGTGGCAGAATTATTCCAAACTTCTCACTTCACGTCAAGGCGTGGCTTGTATCGGCGCAATTTTAGAATACAAGTGTGCGAGACAATTTATTTCCATTTCAGTACCTTGTTTGTAGGTCTGAACTTTTTAGATTGACTCAGTCAGTTTTTGTTACATATGATATAGCCTCCCACACTGGCGTTCTTAGGGGTTCGTCACGCGTTCCTGCCCCACGAAGAACCTCTGCGTGGGAGGCTACATATGATATCGCGATCGCCTTCACTCGGTCCTTATTTGATTGCCTTTTTTCCATTTGTAGGGGATCTTGGGAAGGATGACCGAATTGCCATTGGTGTTTCTTTGGGGTTAACAGCCTTTATTTTATTATTTCTTGGTTTCTTCTTATGTCGCGCGCTTAAGACATACACAACGGACACAAGGGTAAGAATATAACTCGCATTAAAACCCCAGGGGTATTCAGTCTCTAATAAACCGGCTCTATAGCCGGTATGTCCGGCCACCTCTTCTCGTCTAAAATTTGGTAAACATGACAGCTGTTTAGGTATGCTGAAATGAAATAAGGTTTCGTACTTTCTGGAACCTGGGTCTAGGTTTAGAATTCCGTTTCTCTATCATCTCTCCTTGTGTCAAGGCCTTTTATATCTGAAATGTTGTGGGGGGTGGGGGGCATCTGACCTTTTATTGGTCCCCAGAAAAGTAGGAGTTTCAGGGAGGATGTACACTTTCTCAACTAAATTTTCCAGGCAGGAGCCGCCCCTGGCTTCTCCGGACGTGAGGACGAGATCACAAAACCACTGAATCTGAATAATAAGACTGCTAGCATTCGCGCGTAAGGATGGTAAGTACGAGCGTGATTCTTCTCCCTTGCGCGTTTGTCTTTTGCGGTTTATATTTACAATTTATGATGAATCCAAAGAAGAGAATCTTAAATTACGCCCTATTCAATAACTGCTAATCATCTTGAACACCATTTTTGTTTTATTTACTAGCTTAGCTTCACTGAATAATCTGTAAGTTGTCATCTTTGGAGATCAGTAGGCTAGCTGACAAGGAGACGAATAAATTAATCTCTCTTTTATTTTGAACCAAAGGACATTTTACAATAACTGAATGAGTTCTCTCTCGATGAGTGATCGAGAGCTACGGTCTATGAGAATATAGACTAAGGAAAATTGTTGTCCATTTGTTAATGAAGCTACACACGATAAATGAATTAGTTAACTGTGCGGTATCTCTTAATGCAACGCAGTCTAAGAAAACAGCCGACATTTCGCAACACCACCAGTACTTTCCGCGCAAAATGGCGTCTGAGAGAAGAAACGAGCGCGGAAATCCATACTGATAACGTGTAACTACTCAGCCAACTGGGTAGTGCTTCTGATTGGTTTTAGCAAATTTGATTTCCCTCACAGCACGACCAATCAGAAGCACTTCCCAAACATGCCGGGTAGCAACACGTCATCAGTATGGAATTTCTGCGCTCGTTTCTCAGACGTTTGGTTTCGCGGGGAAGGCTGGTGTCACGTAATCTCGGCTGTTTTCTCAGGCTAAATGCAACTCTTTCGTGTTTACGTGGGGAGGAGACTTGCCTGACGACGCACTAAAAAAGGCTGCGTCTGAGACTACCTTAAAAAAGATTTTAGCGAAGCTGTAACAAGTTGGAACATTTTCGCTGATTTGCTTCAATACCACCGCTACAGAAATATCCTGGAACAGATACTTTCAGTGCGCAACAAATTAGCGGTAAAGATTATGAACGTTTTCTAATTGTACTTTTTCTTTCAGGATAATCCTTCAATAACTGAAACAGGAAGTGTTAGCATGATGCCGTTGCCTTCCTACAATAGCCCTTCTTTGACTGAGACAGGGAGGGCTAGTTTAGAGAATCCTGCAAATATAAACAAGGCCTGGGTATCTTACGTTTAAGCGTCAGCGTGGAAAGGACGTCCAATTTTTACGTTTGGGGTCTGGTACCCAAAAGCTACGTCGTGGACAGCCCTTTATCTTACGACGAAAAACTCCAAGGCAGCCCCGGGGCAACTCAAGTCATCACTTCAGCAGACCGGACGGCCACAGAAGGCAGTCACGTGCAGTGACGTTATGATGATCTCTAGACTTCTAGACTCGTTCAAACTTTTCGAGAAAAGTAACTTGAATAATAATGAAGATATTTGTTCGTTAAAGACTATATCTACCTCCAGACTAATCCGCTTGTTCGCAGTTCACGTAATGTCTTGTGGACATCACCTTATAGAGTATAAAAACGTTGAATGATCATTGACCCAATGAAAAAGTGGGTGCTGGATTCATATTCTCTTGTTTGAATCAAACCTACGTAGCCTGACTAGCCTCGCTTGAGATAATGAGATGATGTATTCTTTTGAATTTTGTACTGAAGAACGAGGCTAGTCAGGCCAATTTTAATTTACACGAAAGCAGACAAGAGAATATTCATCCGGCAGCCATTTTTGCGTTGGGTATTTGAATTTATTTCTTTATTTATTTTTTCAGTTCGCTATTAATATTTTATGTAGTGAAGGTTAAAATTACCTTAACAATTTTTTAGGGGAATAAACAGTGAGGAGACTTTTCTTTGATCAATTTAGCTCGGTTTCTGGGACACTGCCCACCTACCCCTCCCCTAAGCCAACATTTTGCCCTAAACAAGCAGTAAGTGTTAATGTTGGTTTAGGGGAGGGGTAGGTGGGCAGTTTCCCAGTAACCGAAATTGATCCCTTTTCTTAACTGACGAACTAGGAACTAGGACCTGGAAATGAAGATCAGGGATCGGGGACGAGTACGAGTACGAGGAACGGGAAAATAAGAAACTTGGAACAAACCTAGCCCTATCAGTAATCCCCAATTCATTCCTTTTTTGTTTTTCAATTTTCATTTTCCCACTTCCCGTGCTCGATCCACATTCTCGGTTCTCCATTCCCGGTTCCTCCCTCTCCGCTTCCAATTTTAGTAAATTAAAGTCCAGTAATGAAGCTCAGGATAAAGCCATCAACGCCTCCCAAAACACTGCATTGAAAATAATATTTGAACACAGATACCTCTGTGGAATATTGCATTCCGTTTATCAAGTTTGACAACAAAAGTGGAGCATGCACGATTATCACCCAAATGTATTTATCCTGACTATGGCTGTACATGTCATAAAATTCAAAATGACTCGCCTTTTTCTGACGAAACAAACGCTTTATTTATGAAGCAAAAATTAACGAAGCAGGAAAAACAAAGGTAAAGCTTACATGCGTGACGCACTAATATCACGAAGTGAAAAAAACCTGCACGACTGCAAGATCGAATCTTGTATTTACTACAGACACTACAACATTTGAAGCTTGTAAACAATGTATTCTTCAAACGTTGGAACTCTTGCTCTTTGTTGTTTGTTTCTCCAGGGATTTACTGAAGTTACTGGTAAGTCGAGTCCTTTTTTTATGAAAAGCCCTGTAGCGATTGACGCCGGCCGGTTTGTATACTGATCCGTTATTTACATATACAGTCATGTCTGTCAAACACGGAAAGCGTGAGGACAGCAGCAGTTCTAGTTACCGTCTGTCTGTCGTTATGTTGGTTATGGGAAGAGAAAGAAAATTATCAAGGTCGAGGAGGGAAGAAAATAAACAAAAAATTAGCGAAAAGGGGTAAATGGAGGATGACGTTGATGGGGTACGTGTACAGAACAAAACATGTACTTGGAAAATCAGCTGGAAAATAAGGATGGAAGAATACTTCACAGAGTTCGGATGGCAATTTCCAACGAAGTTTCTTTGTAGTACTTGCGTGTAACTTTGTCTTTTAACCAAGCGGCAGGTTGGAGTATTTTAGTATTTTAGAATGAATAAAATGAAATCGATGATAATTACGTTCTGTATCAAGAGACTCACTTGTTCAATCGATGCGCTCATTCATGATCATCGACTTTTAATTTGATGTACGTCAACGAGTGTCAAGTGAGTAAAAAAACTGTATGGACTGGATTCTGGAACATTCCATGAAGCATTCAAAATACATCTTAGTCAGCTTGAATGTCACCAAGTCAAAAACTATACTTTTTTAATTTCTCAGTTGATTTAAAGTACACCAAAGGGCACGATCAAGTGTAAAACTCATTGAATCGTGTCGATCAAACTGACATCATAGTTAGTGCCGATAAAAATATAAATATTAATTTTTTGAAAAAAAAAAAAAAACTTGCATAATCGCTTGAGCTTGGGGCCAAATGACTCACTCGCTTAATTAATTAAAAACTCCCCGAGAATGACAGGCTAGGAGAAGAGAGGAAAATCATTTTTTGCTCTCTGCCTCTCCGTTTCTCCAGTTTCTCTGAATGTGTCTCTTCTTGCTCGGCTAAAAATCGCCTGTTAGCAGAACATGAATTTAGTAACGATACTGAGATTTCACACAGTAGCTTTCTGGACAGCGTGCAGTTCGCCAAAGTGATTTCGTAATGTTCGATCGCCTGCCAATTTCTACAAATCAACAGTATGTCCAGCTGATTTCTGCTGTCGTTGAAAACTGCAAATTATCCGAATTAAGCGTTTTCAACATCACACGAAGCATTTCTACACACCTTCGTAGAAACGGCGAAGTCTGAGGTCTATGACGTATTTCCGTTTTCGGTACTTGAGTTTCTTTCTGCTATTAAAGTTCTTGTCCAGGCTTCTCCCGGATAGCGTTTTTTTTTTAATTAAAAATGCGTCGTCCTGTCGTCGAAGGCAAGTTAATTTGCGTTAGTATTAGAACAGTATGGTATCGTTATTTTTGGACTGCTGCTCACATTTAAACCATTCTCGGAGACACATAGTTTTTAAAAGCGATTAGTTTTTGTAATTCTTTTCATAGTGAAGGGGATGAGTAAGCCGGAAACAACAATTCAACAATCTTCCTTGGATTTGGCTACTAACGTCACTGCGGCCATTTTGGTTTGCAAGAACAAAAGCATTTCCCTCCACTACCTAAACCATGCTTTCACGCAAATTCTGCGAAGAGAGCGATAGTTTCCGTACTTTGCTTTTTTTTTTTTTTACCTTCTTTCTTTCTTTTTTTATTAGTTTTTTATAGCTACGTTTGGAACTCTTACTGCTGGTCTTAAGCCTAATGAAGACCAGTAGTTCGCGGTCGAAACGTCGTGATCTATAACAATGTGACTGTCGTGAGACAACCAACGAACCCTCATACCTGACGATTAATTAATAGTGTCTTTCATTACCACTGAGTACTCGCGCAACTGAAACGAAATGCTTTTATCCTGGCCCTGGCCCAGGCCCAAGACTAATTTTTTTTTTTTTAAAAAAAGAAATTCCAATTTTTATTTTTAATCCTTTGAAGGGATTAAAAAACAAGAATCAGCCATACAGGGAATACAAGCTTAGCTTAGACCTCACAATTGCGTGACTTCCTGACGAGGAGCAAACTGAGGGGCACAAACTCAAAATGACTTAATCATTGAACTACTTGAATTAACTAAAACATTTGAGTCAGTCCAAAAATGTATTCCTCCGAGGTTGCGAACTTGGTTTTTTGTAGTTGGTTTCTCCAGGCCCTTCCTGAAGCTACTGGTAAGTCAAAATTCCGTTTCAGGAAAAGCGGCATGGCAATGATTAACGAAATTGTAAACTTGGCTGTGTTACTCAGTCGACACTTTCGAAGATAACACACACTTAACGAGCAATACACATTATTCGTTAAATTTGGAAATCTGACTGAAGAGTAATGGTAGTCGTTTACAAAATGCCGTTGTGCAGTTGCAGGCTGTCAGGGTCTACGTTTCGGACTTTTTTTGGCTTCTATACGTACCCAAACTACCGGTAACAAACTAATTGAAACTTCGTGTCAAAGGTCATCTAAAATTTTAAAACAAGCTTAACTCACTCGGACTAGACGCTCATATTAATTGTTCTTTTTTTGCTGGGGCTAGCTACAAGGCAACAACAATGACAGTTTTATAGCATTTAGAAATTTTTCTCTTTGCATTGGTATCTGTTTACAAGTATTGTAAAAATCGAGTTTCTTTTTGCGAAAATAAGTAAGATTTGGTGGTTGATCTTGAACAATTCATCAAGAGACACTAAGCACTCATGTTGTTCTGGTGCTGGGGCTAGATACAAGGCAACAACAATAACAGTTTTATAGCATTTAGAAATTTTTCTCTTTGGATTGGTGTCTGTTTAACAGTATTGTAAAAATGAAGTTTCTTTTTGCAAAAATAAGTAAGATTTGGTGGTTGATCTTGAAAACCGTGACAAGGTCTATAGTATTCATTAAGAGACACTGGAGACGAAAGCTTTAAAATCATGAAATTTAAATCGTACTTATTCAGTGAAGTTTTAATCTTCTATGATATGCCCAGCAGTACGTCAGCAGTGCTAGGGATTTTGCGAGACTCTTAATTTAACGATTTCCTATAGAAAATTGGGATTGGAGATTGAGAGAGGATCCAGGATCGAGAATCGGGGATCAGGGATTAAGGATCGTGGATCGAGGATAGGGGATCGATTTTCTTTTCTTTGTTGCTTTTGTCTTTTTGTTTGTTTGTTTGTTTTTATCCCAGTAACTATGTAATGTACCGGTCGATTTCAAAACTGCCCATCCCGTCCCCCGGGCGGCATATTCGTTTTCGGTCCTTTGCAGTTTAAATGTCAATTTATTACTTACTTTTTGGGGCCGTAGGTCCATTATAGATCCGATATGCTGTTCATTTTTTGCATGGTTTTGCCCATGTTTCTAAGGTTGGTTTTGTCCATCCGAGACATCATAGACATGCACTTGGACTCTTGCCCTCTCTCGGACACGTGATATGGCGTGATTCTGTGAGTGTTTGAGTTCGGTGTCAGGGCTCCTAAACAGAGTGTGCGGGAATCGAATTTTGGAGCATAGCGTCTCTGTTCGTTGCGCCGTACTGACGAACAACAAAAATGGGGAAACAGCTGTCTACTGCTACGACCCGCTCTGTTTTTTCTTATTCAGTGTCGTGTTGATGTCTTCCGAAGTTAATTTTTACTTAGTATGATCAGCTTTGCAGAATTCAGTGTGTATACCCCTAGGCTGCGAAAACATCCGTTTCTCCTCGTTTACCCCGGGCATTTGACTAAAGTTTTGTTCCGTACAGTGGGAAATTATGAGGCCCGCTCAGCTCAGTCGGGCATTTGAGCTTTGTGTCAAAATGCTGGTCAGCGTTGCAAGCAAAAGGATTTTGTAATTCTTTTGGCATTTAGAACGGTGTACCGCGTTCACAGGCCATTCCTCCTATTTTTACTGTTTTGTTAGAGCATTTATTTAAGAGCCTTTGAAAAAGCCCGTTTAATGTTGCAGTAACGTGGGCTTTCTGGAATGAACAATTTCATTGAAAAGAACAAACCTCCGTAAGACAGTTTTCCAAGACTTAAGCTAAATATTTCAGTTATGTCTAGAAGGATATTTACATTTGAATAAAACGGTAATGACTCATGGAAAGATTTTGGAATGTAGTCGTTGGTGGGTGGGGGATTTGACGCTCTTAACCGGTGGGGCATGTGCATTTGACCGGCTAAACGGCTAAAGTTTTTCAAAAAAGTTAAATGCAAGGGGGGGGGGGGGGAAGGCGGGGCAGGGGGGGTTTTGGGTTTGACTGGTCCAAAACAGAATAATAAAAAACCAAATTCGGAGCCAAAGGTACTAGATTCATCGTATGGAATTGCCATGTTGCATTACATTGTATTGTTGTATTTTATTTATTTAAACCTTAATTTAAATTAATAATTTAAATTAATCAGGAAATTGTCGACCGTGTATTGTGTAGATGGAATGTGTTCTTATGTAGAAAAAAGGGTAAGGTGTTGTGGAAATGGTGTGGGAGGGTGGGGGGGGGGGGGGGGGGTGTGGTCCGTTTGGGGGGGGGGGGGAGTTTATTGTGGGGGGGAAAAGGGAGAAAGTTTTTAAAAAAAGGGGAGGGGGGGGGGGGGGGGGGGGGAAGGCTGGGCATGGGTGGTTTTGGGATTGACTGGTACATAACAGAATCATAACAAACCGAATTCTGACGCAAAGTTCATAGATTCATCGTATGGAATTGCCATGTTGCATTACATTGTATTGTTGTATTTTATTTATTTAAACCTTAATTTAAATTAATAATTTAAATTAATCAGGAAATTGTCGACCGACGTTTCAAAATTTTATTTATTTGTGCATTTTCTTTTTTTTTTGTAGGAGATCTTGGAACACAGGAAAGCATCGCTCTCGGCGTTTCCTTAGGATTAACAATTTTTATCGTGTCATTTATTGGTTTCTTCTTGTGCCGTGCTCTATATTTTGACAGAGGTGTAAATTTCAAAGTAAATGACGTTGATAAAGTGAGTATAATATTCGTCATAAGTTTGCACCACGCAACAATGGCTAGGTACAAACTTCGTCGTCATCACTATCATTATCATTATTATTAGTGTTCAGTTCATGAGACCGTATTTCTTCTCCAGAGGCGGGGTTCAAACCTTCAACCTGGGGCGCTTGATAGTTGCTCTGTCTATATTGTCACTTGATGGATAGGAGCGAACTTCCCTAGAATATATACCTTGGGCAATGTTGTCTTTTGAATTTCCCAGAGGATGATGTTTCCTGGTGATTTCTCTAACGAGCTTCTCTGAGCCTTTCTAAACCACTTCTACTACGCTTACGACTACTGGGATTTGTTCTGTCTTCATCTGCCACATTCTGGTGATTTCTACGGGCCGGTTGTTCAAACGCTGGATAGCACTATCCACCGGATATAAATCTATCCAGTGGATAACGCAGTTGGTTTCCCAAATATTTATCCGCTGGATAGTGATTTATCCGGTGGATAGAGCTATCTAACGTTTGAACAACCGGGGCTATACTTGAATTCTTTTTCCGAATTCTTGGTGGAAGTGATCTATCATCATTATTATTATAGTTATCATTATCATTATCATTATCATCATCATTATTATTATTATTATTATTATTATTATTATTATTATTATTATTATTATTGTTATCAGTTACACTTATTATCTGTGTATTTCCAGGATATTCCTGCTGAAACTGGAGGTGTAAACATGGAACCACCGCCTTACCGATACAGATATCAGAATGCTTTTACAGAGACAGGAAGCTTTCATATGGAAACTTCGCCGACCCCAGCGCATTACCAAATAGTTAGCAATGTTTAGAGAGCGGAAAAAATATTATGGACACAACTCAAGCTGAGCAACACCTATCCGAATTGTTTGAAAATGCAATTTTTCCTTTCTCAAAATGCGTCCACACTTATCGCTTCAACTTGTTTTCGCCCTTCAGCAGGTAACCTGTTCACCCCTTTAAAATTTGCGGACGCGATCCTATAGTGTTTCCATTTAAATTAACCTCTTGGGAAGACTGTTTCTATGGTTCTATTTATTTCTAAGGATTTTAGAAAAAGGGAAGTTTTTTAAATATTTTTTTTGTATCCTACGTAGCAAGCGAGCAAAGAAAGACCGAGGAGGGGGACGCTTTCGGTTTTGACCGCGCTAGAAATGAAACGAGAGCCAAATTTTTTCGAGCGGTCTTTGACTCTTAACCCTCGTTGTTTGCTCTGAAACCAAACGGAAACGCTTGCTACGCAGGCTAATTTTTTGGTGGATTGATTGTCAGCTTTAGAAAGCTTGGAAATCGAGCGTTTGGTGGACCACCATAAACTGTTTAATATGTAAATCCCTTTTATGGTATCTTGGAAGATAAGGCGGCGCATGCACTGTCTGCATATTACCGCTGTTTTAAAGTCCTAAATACTCCCTTAAAGTGTAAATTCTAAATCTAATACGGTGAGGAACAGTTTTATAAAGTGTATTCATGTAAATAGTTATAAAAATAAGTATATTCGAATGTACTTCCACATGTTTTATATTTAACAACTGTGGCAATTTTTGAATAGGTTTAATACGCAATTCATCGACAATCCAGCTCATGACTGATACGTATTTTTGAAATAAAGTGTCTATCTATGTGTCTGTTTATCTACTGATCCGTAAGTAATAGTCTGAAATAACAAGCTTAACATTTCACCGATGAAATATGCAACTCAAAATATGCCCAATATAGTGAGCCTGGAAAATGGCAATGAAGCAGCAGTGCGACATAAACGAACATGTTCGACAATTTGTGTTCCTAACAGTCCTTGTTCGGAAACAGGCGTTTTCAAAAATACACTCCGAAAAGTTATGTCTTCGGTGACCGTCTCCGTCGGATTAGCCTGCGTAGCAAGCGTTTCTGCGCGAATTTGTCGAGAAAGTTGGGACGAGAGCAATAACTCGATTGGAAACGCTTGCTACGCAGGCTACCGTCGGATGCGTGTGGACGGATGGCCGTGATTCCGAGAGAAAAACGCCCGCCTGGTGAGTTTCAAGAAATAAGGATGCATCTGGGCGAAGCCTCAAATTTGTTCAGACCATTTGATTTGCTGCATTTGTTCTAAACAAGTGTTGTAACGCCCTGGAGATTTTTTTTAAAGCCAAGTGGCCAACGGATTTTCTATGTGATGGATTCTTGGACTGAACGCATTATTTTGGAAGGTATTTAACTGGTAACTATTTGGGTTGAATATTAGAATGGTCCAGGTGAATTTAAGAGTGGACTGAATACAATCAGATGATTTCTTCTCAATGTTAGATTATAAATATTTTAAACTCCCCTTCGGTGGCTTCGTAAGGAAACACTGAAATATACAGGCAAATGTTAATAAACAAATCGGGTGTCTTTTGAATGACAACGTCTCCTGCGGACACGACCCAGAGCAAAAGTCGCAACGACTTTAGTTTAAACGGACTAAATCTATTGAACAATAAACTAAGACAATAATTTGACTCCTTTTCAAGTCTGCTGGGAGGTTTTATTCTTTGAAGCCGATATTATGATCATGAAAAAGGAAGGAACGGACGAATCGAAACAGGTTAATAGTCCAATGAAAAGAGGACTGAATTCCCTCTCATACGTCGGACGAAATCGAAAGAAATTTCCACCCGGAACCAAACCGAACTGAATGGGTCAAATCAGAAGGCCCTCGTTCTTGTCGCAAGATAGCGAGATAGAATCCCATGCCCGTCAGATAGCAGAAGTAGCCAGTGTCTCATTTGCTTGCGATCTTTGTTTTAAACGGCGCCGATTAATTTTAGCCAATCTCAATATTGTTCTTAAGGAATATTTGTCAATTGTAATCTTTGATATTAGCCATTCTAAATTTGTCTTTGATTACGTCGCGTGCTTTGCATTTTATTTTACGTCTACATTACTCTGCTCGTTTATGTTATCGTAAGTGCAGTGATTTAACTTCCGACTTTTACTAACGTGAGCGCGCTTGTTGGAGTTTAATTTTCTTCCTCTCATTAAGTCCGGCTTTGATCAGAAGACGCCGAGGTGTACTAAATTGCCCTTGGAAATGGCTCATCGAATATAGTTAAAGAGTGTAATGCCTTAAAACTCCATACAGAAGACGGTGTACTTGATTTCCTTCTATTCACGGCAGCTGGCATGAGAAGTTTGGAATAAATACTTCCTTGGTCGACCGACGTGAAACTAAAAACAAAAAACAATCTTAAACTGAAAAGAATATAACACAAATTATATAAATGAAAAAAAGTGCCAGCAATTGTACATGTGTGCCACTGATTTCGTATTCAGTATGGCAGTTTAGAATGTTGAATCTATTTTGGCTAGGAATAGCGTGTTTTACTTTGGTTCAAGACCCTGCATCGGCAACAACTGGTAAGTCAAAACATTTAGCTATAGATTTGTTGTTTAAATAACAATTTTATGTACTTTAAGGTGTTGACTGTCATCGTTATTTTGGTCACAACCAAAAAGGCATTGCGATACCTTAACTAGTATTGAGCTCGTATTGTTTTGGTCGATGGCATAAACTATCTCGTGTATAAACGGTTTTTGAAGCGCTTTGAGAGAACATTGTTAGACAATTGTTGGACTATGAAAGCTTCGGCATAACAGGCATGGAGCTGAACTATCCACCGCTTAAGATTTCATAAGATTACACTCGACAGTCCATAATAAATTTGATGATGCGATAAGGAAGGATTGCTATCAAAAAGCTTCATTAATAATGATATTATAAACTGTTTTGATATCATCCTTGTACTAGAAGGGCGGGGCTGTGTGTGGTGTTGGTCATTTGAAATTTTTTACTTTTGAGCCGCGCAATTTTGTTATTTTTTTTAACAGCTGCGGTTTAAGCTTTTGTAGTAGCACTTCAGTGGTAAGGAAATAAACTTTCGAGTTGTACAAAAGTAATTCCGTTTTCACGCTTCTGAGTTCGACCACTATTGAAGTTCGAAAAATATCAGCATCATGTTTATTATCATGCGCAAATACGGAGAAAAACAGATAATGATTGTGATAAATATGCACACATAGCAGTGATTGGAGATGTTTACATTGTTGATGATAATTGTTGTTTGTTTTCTGCAATACTTTGTGGCAACAAAGTTAAACGCCTTTTCGATTTCAGAAGTGAAGTTAGAGCCTATATATTGGGTATTTCCGACGAAATCGAAGTCGCAACGATCGTTTATGATGAAGCCCAATCTTAGCGGTAAAAGCGATGATCTCATTGCCATTTTAATCAAGTTGCTCATTTCACTCGTTTCTGTTGTCGTCTTGGTTGCGCTGAGTTGGCTAATTGGGTTACCACGCAAAAAAATTTATTCTTGATATGCGACGACGTCACCTGAAAAATCGACGATTTGATGGAAATCGATTTCCGCAGGTACCCATACTTGCTAGACGTTCAATTGAGATGAGGCATCATGATAAACTAAAGGTCGCTTGGGTGAAAATGGGACCGGTCATCCTCCTAATTTGATTTAACTGAGTCCATGGGATTTGCGGCTAAATGAATAACGCAGAATGGCCTCCTAACTTTAAATTTTGACTCGTTCGCTTTGTTGATTGCGCAGCGCCAAAGTACCACTTAACAAGCTTTAACAGGAGCATACCTAGGGGATAAAAACCTCTTTTCCGCAAAACGTTTCATGACTTTCTAGAGAACCGTCTTTCAAAGATGAAACTTCTAGTTTCCATCAATCCACGTCAGTGTTGTATGAATGTTCATGTTTTTTCAGATACAGAAACTCAGACAATAGAGGAAGGAGGCAATGTCAACCTTACTTGTGGAGACCGAAACCACTCTTTCATACTGTCCTGGAGCAAAGACGGCGAAGATGTGCTTGTTAACATTAGCTCTTTCAATCAGTCCATGCTAGTGTTGTCTAATCTCGAGACAAGTGGTAGTGGCTTGTACGTTTGTACAGCTAACTCGTCTGTGGTATTGAGAAGAGTAAGGCTTACTGTCATGAAAGGTGAGAAGTGAAAACTGTAAACCCAAAAGATTTGAGCACTGTTCTCTTTCAAGGACACACGCGTCTCTTCACACAACTTGACCGGATTATGATACTGAATTACTTGTAACTGGGGTTAACGATAATGAATTACTCGTAACCGGGGTTAACGATTCGGTAAGGTAGTGTAATGCATGCTCAATATTGGGGAGACCACTCTAATTGCTAAAAAACGATCGACCTTCCTAAGTTATTGGATATGGCTTCAGTTTCCTCAGTGTTATATTATAGGCTATATAAGAACCTTGAAAGGAATCCCTGAAATGCAATTTGTTCTGCCAAATTCTGAATAAGTCGGACTATAAAGGGAATTCATCAGAATGGCAGGTCTAAGGAAGGGAATTTTGAGTAAACAGACGACTCTACCGGTGAGAAATGAAACTTTTATGTTATTTGTTAGGTGGGGAAAATATCAACTAATATGGTAATATGTGACTATACCAAGGTAACAAAGTCGTTTCATTTTAGGCTAGCAAATAACATAGGCGCATACTTAATGAATTATTATTTTTGTTTTAATTTTTTTATGTGGCAGGATACGGGATGGCGCTGCCTATTTGCCGTTGCTACCATTAGTAACCAAGCCTTATAAAAAGTGTTATAAAAATGGCAGCGACCATTTACGAAAGGGACAACCACGTCGGCGTTACTCACAGGTCTCCCCTGAGTCACTTGTGTCCAGAAATGCAAATAACTCGGACATGCAGAGCTTCATATTAGACGCAATAAAGTGTAATTCCATACAACGCCATTTCTCTTTAGGGTTATATTAAGGGCATGAGGAAACCCGGTGATGTCTATCATAAAGAGCATGAATATCATAAGTGTACATTTAAATACAGTGAAACCCCGCCTTACGGCCACCTCGTTATTACGGCTACTTTTTTTGGCCATCTGGCAAAACGGCCATACTGTAAAAATCCCCTCGTTAATACGGTCACCTCTTGATACGGCCAAATTTGTTTGGCCCATTGGTGACCGTATTAACGGGGTTCCACGGTAGAACCTATTATTCACCATACCCGCCATCTTTGAACGCGCTTTAATAAAGAACTGAGGGGATAAAAGCAAAACTTGACCGTGATTACTCCTATTGGCAAATTTTAATACATGTTTGCCCCCTGAGAAACCACGTGAAATTGCTCTTTTCCCATCCATACTGAAGCGCCTGCAAAGATGGTGGGCATCAAGAATAATAAGGGCTATTCTGGTCATAACTTAATTAACGTTAGTTTCTATTTTTAGAATTAACAGCAGAACAAGAGGAAATAGCCACACCACAGGAAGGACTGACACGAGTGGATATCATTGCTATTATCCTTGGGCTTGCCCTTACTGCCTTCCTAGTTGTCTCAATATTACTGCTGCTGTATCGAGCAGAAAAGCGTCGCAAAGAGACGAAATACGTGGATAGGTGGCAAGTTGATATACAAACACATGTGAGTAGAGACTACTAGAGACCAGAAAAGAAAAACAAACGACAATTTCAGAAATTCGGACATGGAGTACCTAACCCCCCAAAGGGCGCCAGAAATTTTAACTAGTGTAAAGTACTAGACAAAAATTTTAACCTTGTGGATGAAAGTGTAGCCAAATAGCTTTAACTGGTTTAAATTAGACCAAACTCTGACTCAGCAAGAAGCCCACGGCTACCAAACTACACAGTATTGCACAGTATCACCGTATGGCTATACTGCCACGACGATAAAAGGAGGCTTAAGTAACGACGACGGTGACGACAACGAGAAAGTAAAAAGCAATAGGTTTAAAAGGACATCACGTTCTTTTGTACTACACATGTCTTTGCCGTCACTGCTTGGCTACAACAGGAAACTTCCTAATATTTCATGTTTTGTAGGGTACATACTCTCAATTAACTAAGACGACGCCTCTTCTCTTTCTGAAGTCAGTTAAAAGGAAAATGTCGGCTAAAATTGACAAATTGAAGCCGAATTATTGTTTCAAATTTTTTGAAGAAATGTTTGTAGGTGCTGTCGTTTTCTTAGTGTTAATTCAGAACCTCGACGACGGCAACTAAGGAGAGAGGTCCTGCGAAGTTACTATACCGTAAATGATCGATTAAGTGCCGCGGCACCAATTTCATTTTCCCTGTTAAAGGTGCGGCGCTTAGTTCATCTATTGGTAAAACACTGGGGGCAAAAAAAAGAGAATTAAGTGAGGCGCTTACTAGGTATGCACAATTTAATATAAAATGATTTCGAATGAAATACAAGAGGTATCATGAACGCAGTTTCTCGGTCTCTGAAAGTATTGCTGCTCAAATATAAGAGGTAACATGAACACAGTTTCTCAGTCTCTTTGTGAAACAACGGTGGGGCGTTTATTTGTAAATACCCAAATTAGCCCCGCGGCGTTTATTAATTATTTTCGGTAAATGTGCGGTGCTTATTGGAGAGAACCGCTTATTCGAGTAGCGGCGCTTAATCGATCATTTACAGTAAACACATCACTTAGTGTTCCTCTAGATTAACTTGTTTTCGTAAAACACTCTTCAGGAAAACCTGTCGGTAGAAGAACTCACAAGAATCCCACCATCTCGTCGTGCTTTCTTCATGAGGACTGGGCGAGAGCTAAACAGACTACCACTGCCTTACAGAAAACCAACGAGTCAAGTCAGCGACAGATATGGCACAAAATATGGAGTTGACGAGAATGATGCAAACGAAAACAACAACGATAGAATCTTGCAGTGGCGATTTACAGCTTATTTGTAAATACATATATATGTCTTTCCTCCAGCAAACAGAACTATTCCAGTCCCAGAGGGACAAATTTGATGACAACGCATGTGCATTGCATCATGTGTGCTGCTTCGTCCTTAGGTTTTCTCCTTTCCCTTCTGCCCCCGCGAAACTCATCACTTTTCCCAGGCCAAGTTTACATAGGGACTGATTAGGAAGAGCCTTACGTTTTTGTTTGTATATAACTTTATCCTAAAGCTGAATATGTCTGTAAACAGCAATGTAGTACTAAAAAATTTTTTCGAAAATTAGTCTCCCGAGATCTTGGAACACGAACAGAGATAAGGATGGACTAATTGGCGTTTTGCCACAGGTAACAAAGCTTTATCCTCTCTTGCCACAATGCAAGCTGATATTTTCTCCATTATTTCTATTTCAACTGGTTTATGTTCCGGCCGGTTTCATCCTTGGCTCAAAAAATTGAATTGAACTGAGGATAGAAATGGAAACTCAACAAATGCTACCTCGATGCCTACTGTGTTTTCCAGTGCTGATGGCCCCAAATGTTACTGACCTCACAGTTCGACGATATACCTCACCTGTTTTGCTAACTCAAAATTAAAAAAAAAGTTGTCGATATTCTATACAAAGCAACCTTTAATTTGGACGCACGCAGGAGCCGATAGGCGCGCGAATGAGCATCTTTTGTGAATTATGTGCAATTGTCAGAAAATGAATGTGTTAAGTAATCGTGTCTCTGGCTTTTCACTGGTGCATCGTGTTGGAGACACAATTCAAAGTACTGTACTATAAACCCGGGGGGGGGGGGTACTGCCATACATTACCTATACGGGTATGTGCCGCCCAAAGGGTTCGTGATTTCTAAGCTCCTGATTTAGAACGGGGTATCCATTTCAGAGGCGTTTTCTAGAACGGGGTATAATATTTCGAACCCACGAAAGCTCTCCACTTTTGTAAGCAGCCATTTGAAAGTATTCAAGGAAAAAAATACGATCAATGCGTTAACAAGCAAACCGTTGTACTCTTGTTGCACACTAGAACAGAGTATAAAAAATTGGCCCATTTCTAGAACGGGGTATTAGTTTTAGGGCGAATTCTAGAACGGGGTATAAAAAATTGGCCTTTTTCTTGAACGGGGTGCCAATCTGGAGTCCCGGGCGGCACATACCCACCCAAAAAATACCCAAGTGCCCCCCCGGGACTATAAACCATTGTGTATTAGAAAATTTTCAAAGTCGTTTTGGGTAGAGGATCAGCAGCATAATTATATCATTGTGATCCTAAACTTTAGATAGCTGTGTCAACACACGCCATCCGAGAAAATATGTCATTCTTTGTTGTTCACAAGTGTATAAATAAATCTCGAACTTCAAAAGCTCACCTTGTTATTACTTCCCTCTTTTACACGCCTTCTAGACGTGCAAAACATATCATTTTAATAACGAGTTTGTATAACTGAGTGTGTTACTCAGTCAACACTTTCGAACCAGGCGTCGAACTACATAAACATGCGCAAAGAGCAATATATTCTTCATTACATTTGGAAATCTGACCAAAGAGTAATAGTAGTCGTTTGCAAAATGCCATTGTGCATGTGCAGGCTGTCAGGGTCTACTTTTTAGACTTTTTTCTTTTTTTGCTTCTATACTTACCCAAAGTACCAGTAACAAACTCGAAACTTAGCATCAAGTCACATGTAATTTTAAAACAAGCTAGTCGCCCGGACTAGACGCACATATTGTTCTCAGTGAACTGGGGCTAGCTAGAATGCATCAACAATAACAATTTTATAGCGTTTAGAAATTTTGCTTTTTACATTTGTATCTGTTTTAAAAGTGTTGTAAAAATTTAGTTTTGTTCTGAGAAAATAAGTAAGATTTGGTTGATCTTGATCAATTCAAAAATTAAGAGACACTGGAGACGAAAGCTTAAAATCGTGAAATTTGAATCGATTGGTACTTTATTCAATGAAATTTTAATCTTCTATGATATGCCCAGCAGTACGTCAGTAGTGCTTGGGATTTTGCGAAAACAAATTGGATCAGATTTGATACTTAAGTGAAGACGATATTCTAAATTTTAAATTGGTTTAGCGGTTTCCTGAAAAATAGGATCGGGGATCGAGAATCGGGGGGATACATGTGATTGGGTTTTCTCTCTTGCTTTTTCTTCGTTTTTGTTTTTGATTTTTTTTTTTAACATAACATAACAGTACTCATAACAGACCGAATTCTGTAGCCAAGTTAATTGATTTATTGCACTGTAGTGTATTCTATTTCATTGCATTGCATTGCAAGGTATATGTATAGGTAATCACATGATTTTTCTCGTGCAATTCGGAATTAATAAGCACTTGTAAATTTTTCAAAGTCCAACAAAAGTGCACGATCCCAGCAGTACGTCAGTAGTGCTTGGGATTTTGCGAAAACAAATTGGATCAGATTTGATACTTAAGTGAAGACGATATTGTAAATTTTAAATTGGTTTAGCGGTTTCCTGAAAAATAGGATCGGGGATCGAGTATCGGGGGGATACATATGATTGGGTTTTCTCTCTTGCTTTTTCTTCGTTTTTGTTTTTGATTTTTTTTTTAACATAACATAACAGTACTCATAACAGACCGAATTCTGACGCCAAGTTAATTGATTTATTGCACTGTATTGTATTCTATTTCATTGCATTGCATTGCAAGGTATATGTATAGGTAATCACATGATTTTTCTCGTGCAATTCGGAATTAATAAGCACTTGTAAATTTTTCAAAGACCAACAAAAGTGCACGAGCCCACAGGGCGAGTGCACTTTGTGGTCTGAGAAGAGAGGTTGTCGAAACCACCCTCGTTCATTCATGCACACAATTTATAGACTGCCAACCTCGTTTCCAGGGGGGAGCTTGGCAAATCAGTCTAGGCAAAAGTTAAAGACTTTCAATACACCTCCTTCCCTCTTTACCGATAATGCCCCTATATACATCTAAATCTCTTGGTGTTTATGTGGATGAGACTGTCATGAAATGTACATATCTATATTATCGCTAAAAAGATTGCTTCTGGCATTAGTATCTTGAAGAGTAGTCGGCCATTTGTTACATTTTGAAGTGCTCTCAACTATATATAGCGCCTTAGTGCAACCATTTTTGAATATTGTAGCGTTGTTTGGGGGAATTGTAACAAATCCCTTGCAACTAAACTGCAAAAACTACAAAATCGCGCCCCCTGTATTTTGACGTTCTCTCCTTGTGATGCCAGTGCTGACAATCCTTTTATATCCTTAGGCTGGAAAACGCTGGACACTCAACGGAAAATTCAAACTGCGGCTATGGTTTATAAGTCGCTGAATGACCTTGCCTAGGAATATTTGAATTCTTTGTTTTCCTATCGTAATGAAGTCTCCAGTTATTCCCTGAAGGATTCCGAGGGAAAGCTAGCTATTCCTGGCCACTGCCCCGTGCCAATTATGTTAAAAACAGTTTTACCCATAGAGGTTCGGTGCCGTGGAATAGTTTACCTGTTGAGCTGCGGCAAGCGAGAACTCTTTCCTCTTTTAAACACGGCTGCAGTGATCTCTTTTGAAATATGTCTATAGTCAAGGCAATCATGTAAAGCAGGTACGTTTAATTAGTTAAAGTATTAAATTAGTTAAATAGGTTAAATTTTTGAAGTAATTCACTTTGCCTGGTGATTTTTAACCGTGGATAAATAAAGTTATTGTTGTTGGACGAAGTTGAAAGGTGAGCAGCCCTTTTTCAGTCTGTTGAGTTGAGGCTTGGTTGGAAGGTGTTTAGCGACTGAATCTTGAAAGACTGTCATCCGAATCTATTCGAAGTATTCTACCCCTGCAATCTAAATCAGGAGTCCTTACATCATTTCTTCCATTGAGCAGCATTTGCCCATATAGGTATTTGATGGTAGAACCCTCCTCGCCCCTTCCTCCCCCCCCCCCCCCCCCCCCCCCCCCCCAAGACCCCCCGGGGGGTGTGTTGTTTTCAAACCCCCTCGGGGGGGGGAGCCGGCGTTTGCACAAAGTGTACAAAAGAGAATTAAAAAACGCGCCAGGTTAAATCTGTTATAAAAATGTTATTTTTTATAAATTAAACTTATACTGGTGAGAATTATTGT